CAGTTTAAACCACAATTATCAGGGTCAGAGGTTTGCTTAGTGTAAGCACAGTAAAGCCTTTGTGAAGCAGACTGCTGTGACTCAGTGTAACACTGCCATGAAACATGCTTGTTTCTCTGCTGATGCAGTCCAAACACACAATCTGAACAACACTAATAACTTCAATGAGTAAACCTATGAGGTCATCCTCAAAAACAAGCGCAAATTCAAATGCGATTTCAATATGTCACATATTGACAGTGGCTCACCGATGCCAATGACATAATTACCCAGCTACATTTCCGAAAGAATGCAAAAGCATTGACATATATTTTTCCTTCCTACAATAGCCCGACGGGCAGGGCAGAGATAGATTTTGATAGCCCGACTGGAAAAATCGCTAGCCCCTGGACGTCGGGCTAGCGATTTTGCGTAACCACCCCAGTACCAACATAATACAGTTTAATATGTTCAACAGAATAGCAGGCTTAAAAAAGTAAAATAAAGAAAGCCGAGTCCACGAACCTTTCAAATCACACTTACACACCTCCAAATCAGGATGTAGTTGATTAATCACTTGTTTACTCATGTAAATCAACCAAAATATCTATAATACACAGATTACATACACAGGTGAGTACACACTAAAGCTGACGTTGTTTCTGATTAGAAGCAGCACCACTGGACTAAACATACAAACGATATATAGATGATAAATAACTGAAAATGCAAAATATTGCTGTTAATGGGTGCCTAAGACAAAATCTTCTGCCTGTTGAAAAAACACTCTTATTTATTTATTTATTTTAGTTTACCTGCGTGGAGAACAATGTTGGCTGAAAGACCGAATTATCTTCACAAACTGGGGTCTCAGTGTCATTTCTCTCCCGGCTGTCCACAGAACAAGATCACAGCACAGGTGTGAAAGTGATTTTGCATCCTAGTGTTTAACTGCAAGCATACTTACATTACCACGTAAGACAGGCATTTGCCAAACACACTCACATCCATCCACACATACATATTGCTGTATGCATAAACAGTAAGTCAAAGAATGTTGTCTAACCACTTGGTGTTCTCCTATTCTGTATTAAAAGTCACAAACTAAATTGTTTATGTTTTTTAGCTTTTCACAAAGCCGTTGTACGAATCTTCTAGAGAGGAACAAACTGAACTCTGAGCAAACAGTTGGAAAAAATATACCTTCCTAGTGTGTTGCAGAAAAGCAATCTGAAGTTCTTAATAGTGCTAAAATGAAAGTCAAAAAATATTGGATATGAGGCCAAATGAAAGCCAACAATATAAAGATCATAACGCTTCCACATGCACTCTTAAACTAATCATGAGGGCGCTTGGATGGATCCTGTTTAGCTTCTTATTGCAGCGAAGAAATCAGAAGGAGTGCATCTTTGATATATAGTCAGTGAAGCTGACTAAAAGAAGAACTAGATGACTAAGTTCCTGTTAATGCACATACATCCACTTCTAACTGTTCAGTGACGTTAAAGATCATTGTGCAAAGACAGAATATCCAATGAATCAGTCAGGGTAACCTCTTAGGAAGACCTCAATCTAAATGACTAACAAAAAAAGCCATCCTCTGGACTACACTGGGTGTTTACAGTCA